TTTTTAGATGTTCTTGTAACTATGCTCATTATTTTGCACTTAATAAGGTTAAACTCAAGCCTCTTCTGGGTCAACTACTCGTGGTTATGGAAATGGCTGACCGGCTGACTCAGGCGAAGGATTCAAGTTAAACTTATCACGAAGAAGGAATTGCAGTTACAAGCTTCGGGTGGACACATACCGAGATTACGTGGTCTTCCTAAAGTTCATAGGGAAGGCACACCAATGCGTCTAATCTTGTGAATGGTGGGTTCCCCAGCAGTTTTGTCCAAATGATGGTAAAGAAGCTGTATCCGTTACAGTACATGAATGGCACCTAATACCTGAGCGACGCCTTTAAATTCATTGAAAGGTTATATGACCTTAACCTTGTTAATATAAGGATGATGCATTTAATACTAATTCGTTGTTTACAGACAGTACACTGCTCAAAGAGGTGGAGTACGTGTAGGAGTTGGCTCGGTAACTCCCATGATAGACACTTTTTCCGGAAGATTTGCAAAGGAGAAATACTTGTTGCGCGGTAAATTTTTAGTTCGCGTTCGCGCATTGATGGAGTGGCTATGGGATCTCTATTGGGGATCTTGTTGGCTGATAGCATTATGGAAAAATTAGAACATCGATCACATAGAATGCGCATCAACGAGAATGAAATGTATGCAGGTTATACCGACGACAACTTTATACTTTAAAAATCGAAAAATTATGCGGCACAGTTACTGAAAGCATTTAATGACGAGAATGAGAAGCTGCACCTCACTTATGAGCACTACTTCGGCAACAGAATACTTTCTTGGATTACACATTATAGGTAACTCGGACGGAACTATCAGAAGAAAGGTACACAGAAGGCATACATAGACTGGACAGTACACCAAATATCACATTGTAATACGTTAACAGCGAAACCTAAGGTTAATTTGATTGCTCGCCTATAGGGCGCGAAGCATTTCTACACCGGATACCGTCAAAAAAACAACAACAGAGAATCAGCGACCGCCGGAGAGAAAACCGCTACATTGACAAATTGCTGATAGCGGCCTCCGGTCGGTTATTTTTGGCTGTTTTGACAATATCACTTTGTGTTGGCTTTCTGCGTTCATTGGAAGTATTTCGTGGAAATTTAGATACAATTCAGTTTCATTTCCGATTCTGAAATTTCAGACCAGAAATACTTGTGTTTTCATCGCTTGGTTTCGGCGATCTTGCTATCGCCATTTTCTTCGTCAATTGGCCGCCATCTTGTTTTCGGATTATTCACAATGCCGAAGCAGTCATCCTGTGGTACTTGATCCAAACTAGTCGGATACCGTGCAAATGCCCTCACGTGTATTTTGTGCCAAGTTAAATACCACATTTCATGTGTTGGATTACCAGTTGAGCATTTTCATCGTCTTCGCGAGATCCAACACGATTTCATCCAAACTATATGTGAAAATTGCCGAAATAAGATACAGCCAGGAAGAGTAAAGCCGACGGGTAGGCCTCAAAGTTTTGTTGCGAACAGCTCCGTGTGTTTGTCCCAAAAACCTAGCCCGAACAGCCTTCAGGTTTTAACTCAGTCTTCTTACTCTACCCTTGCAAACTTAACGAAACGAAGTCCAAACTTTGTGAGAAGCCCAGTTTCACCTTGCATAAATTCTTTATCTTTGTTGTGTCCAACGGACACCGATGTCTCAGCAGGTGAAAGTCTGAGTGTTGAAGATCAGTGGAAAGAACAAAGAACGAAATTACGAAGGGACGTTTGGCGTTTAAATTCTGTAAGTCAGCAGTTAGTCAAACCGCCTGAGGCTGGTAATATACTTCGCCCTGAAAGTTCAACCTCGTCCGACCAGAGGCGTTATAATCTCGTGATCCTTCACGCACCGGAGTCCAGTGATCCAACAACCCAAGTGCGCTATGATCACGATGTCGAGTTCGTACAGGGTCTAATTGACAGACTCCTTAACGCTGGTGAGTACTCGGTAAAAGTGAGGCAAATGACCCGTCTTGAAAAGCAAGGTGATCAACGAAACCGACCTATGAGAATCACTTTTGTGGACCAAGCCAGTCCAAGACTGATTATGTTCCGCCTAAGTAGGCTGAAAGTTTTGAAGATCCATGTTTGTCCAGACCTGGACCCAGTAGACAGGCAGCGGCTCAAGTCTGCCATCATTGAGCTGAAAAGACGTACTGGTGAGGGGAAAACAAATCTTCGTATCGTAAATTTTCGGGTGGTTTCCAACAATCCGTGAATCAGGATAAACAGGCTGCTCACACTTCAAGCACGCCCGGCGGCTCCTGCTGCGGCCTGCGAGTAGCCTTCACAAACGTTTGCAGTGTTATGAATAAGCGCGATGAGCTTTGTTATTTCGTTGCGTCTGGGCGGCCAGACGTATTGGGACTCGCAGAGACATGGCTGCATGCAGAGTTATACACCCAAGAACTTGAACTCAACGGTTACTCGTGTTTCCGATGCGATAGTCTAAAGAATGCCCACGGTGCCGTCTTACTTTACATCCAGTCTTCCCTGCGTGGGAGAATTGTGAGCACCTACCGAAGTGACGATGGTTTGTGTGAGCTACTGTGGTGCTCCATCCGCCTCAGGCGCGGAGAACTGCTTATGGGCGCAGTTTATCGCAGTCCTCTGAGTCGTTGCTTAGATTGGCTTCGCATTCTTCGAACTCACATGAGTCGTCCACACTTTGTACTTATAAACGATTTTAACTGTCCTCGAATACGATGGTCTGATGTGCATTTGATGCCTGGACATAGTGAGGTTGAAGCAAAGTTCGTGGATTTGATACTTGAAACTGGTGCATCGCAACACATATGCCAGCCAATACGCATAACGACACGTTCAACCCCGTCCTATCTCGATCTGATGTTAACGAGCTACGAACAATGAGTGCGTGACGTTAGGATCCTGGAGTCCCTGGCTACAATCGACCATTTAGTGCTCATAGCTGATATGGAATTATCTTTGCCGTATTCACGTCCCCTGGAACCAGCTCCCAACTACTGGAAAACGGACTTCGATGGTCTAGCTCGAGCAGCGAGCCAACTGGATTGGTCTCTGTCACAAGCTGCATCTGTGGAAGATTGTTGGATATTTATAAAAAAGAGATTGACATCATTGTGTTCCCAATTTGTGCCATTGAAATGTCGGATGGTTGGACCGATTAAGCCTATTTGGTTTGACAAGGAGTATGGAAACCTGGCTCGGAGGCGGCGCAGACTGTGGGACAAATTCCTCCTCTCTGGCTCTGCCAATGATTACGAAGGGTATAAATGTCAGCGGAACCTCTGCAACAGTGCAAAAAGAATAAACGCCGACATTCTGAAGAGCAGCTTGCAGTAGCCGCGAAGACCGCCTCAAAGAGAATCTTTGCATACGTGAAGCGACGCCTGAAGGCGGCAGGTGATGTGCCAGTGCTGGATGGCCCGGATGGACAGCCCCGTAACCTCCAGCACTGAGCGTGCGTCCGCGTTGGCGGCGCACTTCGCTTCTGTACTTGCGAATAACCAGGTGTCTGTTCCGAGTTCGAGGTGTATCTCTTTTACCGAACTCGACAGTCTGGATTGCGGCGTTGAAGAGGTAGCTCAACTACTCGCCAGCCTTGACGGCACTAAATCTGCGAGACCTGATGGGCTTCACCCACTGGTTCTCAAGTCACTTTCGACCATCCTCTCTCCTGTCGTGACTGACTCTTTCGACAGGTCGCTGTCAGAAGGTTCGTTGCCAATTGACTGAAAATGTTCGGTCGTGAAGCCTATTCCGAAAGGCGGCGACCCTAGCAAAGTAGACAACTACAGGCTAATTTTTCTGACACTTATTTTAGCAATGATTGCTGAGAAAATCGTGAAGAAAGGATTGCTTCAGTTGCTACAGTCAAACGAGGTCCTAACGCCCGCACAGCACGGTTTTATGCAAGGTCGCTCATGCATTAGGAACCTGCTTGTGACGAGGCATGAGTGGTTGAAGGCAATAAACAAGGGGAATTCCGTCGATGTGATATTCATCGATTTCAGTAAAACGTTCGACAAGGTCAGTCATGAGGTTCTCCTTCACAAACTCAGCTTGTGTGGTGTCGGTGGCTCACTGCACCGGTGGATCCGCGACTTTCTCGTTGGACGAAATTGGAGGGTACAGGTGGACGACCATCAAACCGACTGGTATTCCTCTACAACTGGCGTGCCTCAATGCACTGTGCTGAGGCCCACTCTGTTCCTGATCCACGTCAACGATCTACCGCAGCTTCTCCGGTCGCCGTGTGCCTTGTTTGCGGACGACATGAAGATTTGGAGAGAAATCGACGCTCCCGATGACTGTGGCCTTCTTCAGCAAAACCTAAACCGCCTATCCACATGGTCAGCAGAAGTTTATTTCCCGGTCAACCCAGCCAAGTCTGTATTTCTGAGCCTGGGGAAGGGTGCTAACCGCCGAGCCTACACCCTTGACGGTCAAACGTTATATCCCACACCCTCCGTAAAAGACCTAGGTGTACTCTCATGCTACGATTTGAAGTCCGTGGACAACACGAACAGACTATATCGTAACGGACTACGCATGCTTTGGGCGCTCAAACGTAGCTTCTGCACATTGTCTGAAGAGGTTGCCACTCGTCTGTTCTCTTCTATCATTAGACCAATGCTAGAGTACGGTTCGCCCGCCTACTTTCCTATTACGCGAGGCGAGGCACAAAAGATCGAACGGGTCCAACACGTTGCTACCAGGCTCATCCCGAGTTTACGTGGCTTGGGGTATGAAGACCGGTGCGAGAAACTAGGACACTACACCTTGTCCTACCGTCGGATGCGAGTCGACCTCATTATGACCTACCGTATTCTACATCTTGATGACTTCCCCATGCTGAGGCCAATGGTGCACTTACGAGGGCCATGCAGCACACGCGGACATAGATACAAACTTATCGTGCCGGATGTGAAATGTGTTCCCCACCCCCCGGCCTCCACCGGGCCCCCTCCGACCCCATCCCAACTCCCCACCCCTCCCCCAGCCTCATCCCGGACGCGCCTCAACACCCCCCGCCGCCCGCCCACCCGCCCCGGCCCACGCGCTCCCCAGCCGCCCTCCCGCACTCCATTCCCCCCCCCGTCGCCCCCCCCCCCCTCCCCCCCCCGCCCCCGAATTCCCCCACTCACCCCGTCCCGCGGGCCCCTCCCCCGTACCCGCCCTCCCTCCTACCCCCCCTACCCCCTCCCCACCGCCTCCACCCGCCCTGCCCTCCCCCCCACCACATCATCCCCGCCCCCCCTCCGAACAGCCCCGCTCGCCGCTCGGGCGCCCCCCATTCCCCGTATCGCCCCCGCCGCCCCCCCCCCGCGCCGCCCCCATGCCGTTTCCCGCTCCGCCCGCCCGCATCGCAACTCCTGCCCTCGCCTCATACCCCCACCGTCCCTCCCAATCCACCCCTACCGATACCGCCCCCTCCATTCACAATCCCCGCGCCGTTTCCTCAAATATCTGCCTCCCTAAAATCCTGCCGCCCAGCACACCCTCCCCCCCGCTTCCCCTCAACCATCAACGGTCAGCCCCCCCCCCGCCCC